TAAATAGTATAAATAGAAGCAGAGTTCTTTACTGTAAGCCTTAATCCTGTCCATCTCCCCCCAGTGCGGGAAATTTCGACACGTATATGATATAAAAACACGTGCGCATTCGAATGCAGCGTTGTGTCAAAATTTAAAAGGAATCGATAGGAACAAACGAACATTACATTTTCATTTATATAAATAAATAGAAGATGATCCACTTTAGTTGATTTTCACAGAAAAGCGTAATGCCTCGCAGAAAAGCAAACTTAGGGCGTCGTACTCGTAGCGCCATCTGTTGGACATAAAAGCCTTAACCTAGATTATATATTTTAATTTATATGAATGTTTAACGGAATAATATACAGCCTATGTCCACCCTGAGGTTCCATTTTAAATATTGGTGAAAGAATTTTTGAAATCGGATGAGTAGTTTCGGAGATTACCTGCTGCAACGAAACTTACATACATACAAACATTATCTCTTTATATATTAGTATAGATATAGATGATATCCTTCCCCACAAAAAAATGGGTTTAGTTCAAAATCCCAACAAGTCAAAATGACTAAGAAATCAAAATGTCTACAAAATCAAAGTCCTATGTTGTTATTTTTGCAGATCTTGGAGATTTTCTATTGTCAGTTTTGTATAGTTCAAGTAGAAAAAGCATAAAATTATAAATCAACAAATGTTTAATGGTTGGTTTAATAGTCTGTTTTCTATGCCAAACAAATAAAGTATGTTTTATAACAGATTACTTAGTATTATGTATTGATGACTTATCTATTAATACACTAGGACAAACAACTCTATGAAAACCTGATACATTATATTACTAAAGCCAACCACTGCCATATGCCATTGGGTTGTATAACAACTATAATACTAATAAATTACTAAACAATTTGACACTAGAGGAATGCATTAGGCACCATCTTGTAATAAATTTAATAATTATAATTTTAATTAATTTATTACTAGGACATCATGCGACTTTGTTGTATTGTGATAGAATTGAGGAGGAGCCAGAAGGAAAGAAGCAAATCCATGCACCTGTTAGGCACAGACACTGATCCTGATAGCTTCTTTTGTGCCTAAGTATACTGATCCTTAGGCACAAAAAAGGCCATCCTCATACCTGCAGGCCATTTCAGATATGATCTTTGCACTGGCCAGGTATGAACAGACAATTCAAGAACAAAGCAATCACACCAGTTGCTTTGTTCTTGAATCATCTGTCCATACCTATTTTCCATTAGGTGCACATAACACTGTTTTTATTTTCATCACATCAGAGAGACTGGACATTGTTACTGTAATAACTTTGTATATCAAAAACAAAGTCATGGACTCCTATTTTTACTTTCCTGGCTCTCTGATAGATAACAGAGGGAAAGCATGGCAATCGGTCAAAAAACTATAATTTTAAATTTTCGTGATGACTCAGGATATACTTTTTTCATAATTGAAGTTTAGACTATTTACAAAAATTAAATTAAATTTTCGAGTATTCGATAATTTTAAAATCAAAATCCAAAAAATATAAACAATATTTTTTGTTATTCTTTCTTTGTAGGCACTTAGTTATTTGTGGCAGCACTCAATTATTGGTGTTCGCTACACTCAGGTTTTCTTTTAGACCCTTCTGAGGACTACGGCCTTGCAGCTGAAAAACTTCAAGCCAACATCAAACGTAGAGGGTACAGTAGCCATACATATGCATGCTGTTCAGAAGAATCCTACCTTTCTCTACTGTCATCTCGTCTCTCTCATTCCTCCCCCTCTTTTCCGCCAGCTAAACACCTTGTGTATAGCTGATGTCTTTCATGTATGTATGTATGTTATTCAACTATGGTACTATTGAACACTATTCAAAAGTGTCCTAACAATTTGCTAAATAGTCTCCTAGTATGAACAAAACATTCAAATGATGAAGATAAATTTTAGGTTAGATTTACTGTTTGAGATTAACTTTCCTTGCTATGGTTAAACAAATTGGAACACAAGATAATAACAGCAATTAAAGAATTGTATGTCTTTTTTTGTAGAAACTATAAAACTCTACAATTCCAAAGTTACAATTTTCATGTTAAAATCCATCCAATAAACAAAGTGTTGATTATAAATACACCTCACTAACCTTAATAATGCTTTGCAGTTAATTTGCAACATACCACAAACATTTTTGGTCCATCCTAGGACCTTCTTTGGGTGGAGTTCCAGAAAAAACCTTTTTCTGGTGTGATTAGTGATTTATTCAGTTTCTGATGCATTCTAATTTCAAATGCTTCTATTTTCGAATTCCCTTTTAAAATTTTAAATCCCTAACAATGTGTGCCTGTATCGACTGTCATAACACCGGGTCATACATAGCCTGCCACACCCGAGAGTTGTTTTTTGTCCTTAAAATTGATTGAAAGGCCCTGGCATTCTGCTTTAAAAATTTCTAATGCCTTCAGATTCCTAAGTTGATTTATATGACGAGTTTGCCAGATCATAGATGCTTGTTGTAATTTGGGTGTAATGCTGTTTTCACTGGCATACATAGCTAAGGCGGTAGTGTTTTTCTTCTTTTCAATATCAGTTTTATGTTCATGAAGGCATTGTTTGAGTGATCTTCCTATAGATCCAATATATACAAGTATCAGAGTATTAAAAATTCTTTAAACTCCAATAAAACATAAAGAACATTCTAATCTTTCAAAAGCAAAATAAATAATGTCATAAAATTTAAATTATTTTATTAGCTATTAACTTAAATTTTTTAACAAAAAAAAGAACTTAAGATTATGACTATTTAAAATGAAAAGAAACTAACACATAAAATTTTTAAATTTATATGTCTATTTAGTTCTTTATAGTTATAAAACACAAACCAGTCACAACTGAGTAAACTTGATAAAAACCACAAAAAACCAAATACCAGCAGAAAAAAGAGGGATAGAGCTAACATTTTTGCCCATGTTGAATGGGTATCAATCAGGCTAAATGACCCAGCAGCTGTTGAAACAACAGTAAATTGACATACATGTATGAAGAGGAGAGGTGACGTAAGAAAGAGGGAGGGAGAGAGGATAGTGAGTTTACAATTCGTAAAATAACCACCTACACTAGGGAGAATGAATCAATGCTGTAAAACACCTGCTCCAAAGAGCATCAGAATTTCATCTTCAAAGGATCAGCCAACATTCCATTAGCTATTTTTGCCTGCAATCCCAACCAATATAGATATGCATTTTGACCATGCACACCTCTTACATAGCTCCACCTGAAAACATCTCAGAAATTTAGAGCAAGTTGAAATTTATAAGACCATCCACAAAAATACAGTCATTAATTTTTGCAACAGATTCCTCTCTTCACACATGCATGGCAATCCCCCATTGATTCAACAGTTACAGGGTCATTTAGCCTGATGATGCCCATTCGACATGAGTGAAAACATTAGCTCTATCCACCTTTTTTCTTCTGGTATTTGGATTTTGCAGTTTTAATAGTTTTAGATTTGAAATTACTATATTAAAAATGTCTCAGAATGAAGATTGCTTAAATATGTTTGAATTTATAATTTTTTATTCTTCTAAAAATAAATGGAAGATCCAAAAAGAATTTTAACTTGTAGAGCAGAATATGAAATTTATAGATTAACTATAGATTAATTGATGTTTACTTAATTAATCTATAATCTATAAGAAAACATTATTATAAAATTATATTTTGATAAATCTTTGCTTAACCATTGTTTGATCTTTCAGTCTAAATATTTACACATCACTATTTGTCAATTTCTATATATTTTCCAGTTTTTGTGATATCATTAACAGATAACACTTGTGTGTTTTTCTTAATTTTATACACTGAGAGAAATTTGATATTTTTAAAGATTTTTAGTTTTTGTTTATGTAGTAATATCCTTCCATCATTTACAGAATTTTATCTTTTGTTACAATAAATAAGTATTACAGTACTATTCATTGTGAATAATAAGTATTTGTGCTTATTTATTGTAATAAAACATTAATTTTCAAATTTTATATAAAAAATTTATTCTAATTTCTTAAACAAAAATTATTTTTGAAGGTGTATTTAAAATTTGAATACTAAATACAGTAGAACACTGATTATCTGAAGTAATGTGGACCAATGTTGCCTCAAATAACAAAGCTTGACTAATCAATTTGGATTAAATATTATAAATAAGTTAATACCATGTAATTCTTTTATAAGCTGTTTTTATATCTTATTGACTTTAATCATAAAAACAATATATTTTTTACATTATTTATTATGTAGCTAATACACATATAATAATTTTAAAAATAAAAATTGTGTTATTATTTCATAATATAATATGTATCATATAATACATTTTAATATGAACGGTTGTCTCACATTGAAAATGATAAAAGCTAACAGAAACAAATTTTGTAATACATTATTATTTTAAATTTTCTTTCAGCAGTCCTTTGGTTAAGAAAAGTAATGTATTCACTTACATATTTGCCTCAGATAATACAGGACCTCAGTTAATCAGAGCTATACTGTATTGTATTTTCATAGTTATCACTTTATACTTTAATTCAATAAATATATTACTGTTTTACCTTATATCCTTTTTACAAACAGCTTTTATATACTCTCTACTATGGGAAAAATATTTATTTTTGGGAAACTGCTCATCAAACTCTTCAATTAATTTTGCATAAATTGTTGGCACAGCCATGAATATATTAATCCTAGGTATTTTATTTAATGTATTAAGCAAATAATCCCAAACCTAAGAAGGAAAAATTATGTACAGTATTAATAAACTTTAAAAAATAACAATATAAAAAATTAGATCTAATCACCTCTGTCTTATTAAATTTAGGTAGCATAACGCAGCACGCTCCAACATATAAAGGGCACATCAAAGCATTCACAATACCATGTGTATGATGAAGAGGTAAAGTATGCAATATCACATCTGTTTTTTTCCATTCCCATGCATCTATCAAAGTATTCATAGAACAATGTAGATTTTTATGAGTGAGCACAACACCTTTTGGTGATCCAGTAGTTCCACTAGTGTACAAAATCATTGCATTTTTATCCATTATTTTTTTATATTCTTTTTTAACATAATTCAGATTGTTTTTCAATTCTGGAATTTCTTCAAACTGATCACCTGATTTTCGTGGGTGTGTCATCAATAACATTGGCAAAGATAAATCTTCAGAAATTGGATTTAATTTTTCTACAAATTCTTCTGTCGTTACAATTACTGAAGTCTCTGAATTTTCAATATAATACTGTAGCCGTGGCGTTGGATCAACATTACTTAATGGCACAGCTACATGTCCAGACATCCAGCAAGCCCATTGTGCAATTATATAGGAAACATCATTTTGACACAAAAATGATATTCTTTTCTGAACCTCGTTTTGATTAGTAAGAACATTTAACAACTTTTCAGTTAAGGCTTTACTATGTTTAAATATCTCACCATAATTATATTGTCCATAATGATCAACGACAGCAAGACGATTTGCGAACTCCAAAGAACGATTGTAAATGGGAATAAAAGGCGGAAATAAAGAAGCAAAACTGTGAAAGTTTCGGAAATGACACTTATTTCTACTGTAATTAAAATATATCCAATAATGATTTCTCGTTAATTTAGGTATAAACCGCATTTTATTTCTAAGCGTTTGTTTAAATATTAAAAATCTAATTTCATTTCGTAAATTCAAATATATTCAATAAAAATGGATTTTCGATTAATAAATAAATAAAACGAAATATCACATGGTTTCTACAACACCGAAAACACGAAGCGATTTCGCGCCACCTAACGTTATTTAATTTATATATATATNAATTTATAATTTTTTATTCTTCTAAAAATAAATGGAAGATCCAAAAAGAATTTTAACTTGTAGAGCAGAATATGAAATTTATAGATTAACTATAGATTAATTGATGTTTCAATACATATTTTCAAACTTAATTAATCTATAATCTATAAGAAAACATTATTATAAAATTATATTTTGATAAATCTTTGCTTAACCATTGCTTGATCTTTCAGTCTAAATATTTACACATCACTATTTGTCAATTTCTATATATTTTCCAGTTTTTGTGATATCATTAACAGATAACACTTGTGTGTTTTTCTTAATTTTATACACTGAGAGAAATTTGATATTTTTAAAGATTTTTAGTTTTTGTTTATGTAGTAATATCCTTCCATCATTTACAGAATTTTATTTTTTGTTACAATAAATAAGTATTACAGTACTATTCATTGTGAATAATAAGTATTTGTGCTTATTTATTGTAATAAAACATTAATTTTCAAATTTTATATAAAAAATTTATTCTAATTTCTTAAACAAAAATTATTTTTGAAGGTGTATTTAAAATTTGAATACTAAATACAGTAGAACACTGATTATCTGAAGTAATGTGGACCAATGTTGCCTCAAATAACAAAGCTTGACTAATCAATTTGGATTAAATATTATAAATAAGTTAATACCATGTAATTCTTTTATAAGCTGTTTTTATATCTTATTGACTTTAATCATAAAAACAATATATTTTTTACATTATTTATTATGTAGCTAATACACATATAATAATTTTAAAAATAAAAATTGTGTTATTATTTCATAATATAATATGTATCATATAATACATTTTAATATGAACGGTTGTCTCACATTGAAAATGATAAAAGCTAACAGAAACAAATTTTGTAATACATTATTATTTTAAATTTTTTTTCAGCAGTCCTTTGGTTAAGAAAAGTAATGTATTCACTTACATATTTGCCTCAGATAATACAGGACCTCAGTTAATCAGAGCTATACTGTATTGTATTTTCATAGTTATCACTTTATATTTTAATTCAATAAATATATTACTGTTTTACCTTATATCCTTTTTACAAACAGCTTTTATATACTCTCTACTATGGGAAAAATATTTATTTTTGGGAAACTGCTCATCAAACTCTTCAATTAATTTTGCATAAATTGTTGGCACAGCCATGAATATATTAATCCTAGGTATTTTATTTAATGTATTAAGCAAATAATCCCAAACCTAAGAAGGAAAAATTATGTACAGTATTAATAAACTTTAAAAAATAACAATATAAAAAATTAGATCTAATCACCTCTGTCTTATTAAATTTAGGTAGCATAACGCAGCACGCTCCAACATATAAAGGGCACATCAAAGCATTCACAATACCATGTGTATGATGAAGAGGTAAAGTATGCAATATCACATCTGTTTTTTTCCATTCCCATGCATCTATCAAAGTATTCATAGAACAATGTAGATTTTTATGAGTGAGCACAACACCTTTTGGTGATCCAGTAGTTCCACTAGTGTACAAAATCATTGCATTTTTATCCATTATTTTTTTATATTCTTTTTTAACATAATTCAGATTGTTTTTCAATTCTGGAATTTCTTCAAACTGATCACCTGATTTTCGTGGGTGTGTCATCAATAACATTGGCAAAGATAAATCTTCAGAAATTGGATTTAATTTTTCTACAAATTCTTCTGTCGTTACAATTACTGAAGTCTCTGAATTTTCAATATAATACTGTAGCCGTGGCGTTGGATCAACATTACTTAATGGCACAGCTACATGTCCAGACATCCAGCAAGCCCATTGTGCAATTATATAGGAAACATCATTTTGACACAAAAATGATATTCTTTTCTGAACCTCGTTTTGATTAGTAAGAACATTTAACAACTTTTCAGTTAAGGCTTTACTATGTTTAAATATCTCACCATAATTATATTGTCCATAATGATCAACGACAGCAAGACGATTTGCGAACTCCAAAGAACGATTGTAAATGGGAATAAAAGGCGGAAATAAAGAAGCAAAACTGTGAAAGTTTCGGAAATGACACTTATTTCTACTGTAATTAAAATATATCCAATAATGATTTCTCGTTAATTTAGGTATAAACCGCATTTTATTTCTAAGCGTTTGTTTAAATATTAAAAATCTAATTTCATTTCGTAAATTCAAATATATTCAATAAAAATGGATTTTCGATTAATAAATAAATAAAACGAAATATCACATGGTTTCTACAACACCGAAAACACGAAGCGATTTCGCGCCACCTAACGTTATTTAATTTATATATATATATATATATATAATTCAAACTAAATTAGATCTTAATATGAAATTTTTTTATTAATGGTAAAATGAACAAAAATTCTTCCGTGTCTTTTAATTGTTTTAATTTCTGAAAATAAATCATTTAAAATAGGCTATATATAATTGTGTATACTATATATATATATAAATTTTACAAGTTACTATTGAATGAATAAAATCTACATTTATTTTATAGCCTCCTTATATACAGGAAAAACGTCATTTTTTAAATTTTTAACTCTCTAGCCTGTGATTTAAAAGGGCCTTACGAAAAACTTTATGAAATAATTCACATAGAATGTTCGATCTCGGGTTCCCAGAGCGGTAGGCTTGTGTCTAGTTAATTTTTTTCGCCCATTATAGCTCTTTAATAAGCCCATAATGGGCTTATTAAAGAGCTCTTTAACAAGCCTCTTAATTAACTCTTTAACAAGCCATAATGGCCTTTTTCATAACTCTTTCCGCCCTGTGGGCACTCAATGGGACGGCCGGGTGGTGTGGGACGGGAAGTCGACATATCCGGTCGCTGATGGTCTAGGATCCATTTGTATTCGTTTGTTCAATAAGATAATAAAAACCGTAGACTTTTCTAAGTGTATTTTTAATAGATTATCTGACGTAAACAAGCTCAATATATATTTTCTTAGCACAATGTTGCTGTTGAGAACATATCATATAGGAACACTTTCAGAGGAAAAAGGTTGTTTTATTGGTGTGGACGAATATGCATTTCGGGCTTAATGCCCCTCTTCAGTCTTATTATTACATATTTATCAGTAAATTGATTACATGTTTACAAATTTACAGAATGCATTGAAAAAATTAGGATACGCGTACAATGATTTATATAATAAAACTTAATTACCTGAGATAGTGACAGTTAAACCAACATGACTAGTAAGAAGTCTAAGAAGAGGGTTAAACTCGAGAGAAAGAAAAACGTTTCATGTAAGATTGATGCCTTCCTTATCCATATACATTATTAGCTTATTTTCTACTACTTTTAGAACTGTAACAGTACTACTTCAAAATTAAGATTATCATCTACGAATCAAAGCATTGTTTAATAAATATCCATTTAATCCTTATTAATAATTTATCATTTCTTTGTCTTCTATTTCCTAATTTATTTTACAAGTTCATTCACCTAATTACAGTATATATTTATATACATCTTTTGTTCCTTTTCAGTTTGATTCTCACTTTTAAATAAAACAATAAAATTATTAACCTGTATTTTTGTTTTTAAAATTTTAATTTGTTATTGGACTATCAAAATATTTAATTAAGTAAATTCTGTATTTTACATTACATTTTTACGAATTTCCATTGTTTCCTACGATATCGAGTTTTTGAAAATACAATTTTGAAATTTGAAATTTTGAAGTTTCGTGTAAGATATTACTTTTAGATGGTTGCAATATCATCTATACCTTAAATTGTTTTGAATGATTTAAAATTTGTAACAGAACACCATTTACTTTTTAGATTATGCGACACGCTTCTTGTCTAGTCTTGTGTTGAATTATACTAGCGCTAAGGTGGCTTTTCTTTTTCGCTAGACTTAATATACCATCAATATAAAGGAGGACAAAATTGTAAAAGATCATTAAAAAACTTACATGGATTATGAGAAATGCAGGAGTTGTGACATTAGATAAAATATAGATGGCGATTATTGATTAACATTCTGTACCATACCGTCATGTTTGCAGTAAGTTCAAAACTTTTTACATCTATGTTGTTTGTTTTCCCTTTGTAAATCATTTCCAATTTAATCATTATTTTAGCTTATACCTGTTAATCAATAATCGTCATCCATATTTTATCTAATGTCACAACTCCTGCATATCTCATAATCCATGTAAGTTTCCTAATGATCTTTTACAATTTTGTAACATTACAATAAATTTATGCTAACTTGAATACATTATGCTAACCTGTATGTAATTTTCCCTATATAGTTGTAACAGAAGAGTTGAAAAGGGACATAATTGTCCGAAATACATACTCAAAGAAATAAAAAGTTTTTCTAAAGTTGTCCTCCTTTATATTGATGGTATAATAAGTCTAGCGAAAAAGAAAAGTCACCTTAGCGCTCGTATAATTCAATACTTTATAAATTGTTTTTGAAAATACAATTTTGAAATTTAAATAAAGCAGTATATTTTTGAGCTACATTCTAAATATCTTTCCGTGCTTTTTACATTCTAGAATTGTTTCATTATTATTTAAAAATCTTCACTAAACAGATGGTTTATATTATCACACTTTGGCGAATTGTTTGGGTTTTTTTTCCCCTCACATAGATCTAGTTCATATCTATCAACTCAACTTTTCCGTCTAAACTCTTCTTAATAACTACAAAACAGGCCGACTATAATTATAACGTACTTTCTCTTATCTAAGAGGAAGTTTGTTCTAATTTGCCTCCTTTTTTATCATGAATCTTTATTCATTCAACACCATTTTAAGTTTAAAAGACAAAAAAAAAAAAAAAATATATATATATATATAAAATAAGAACAGGAATAATACACTTCCTGCTTTACTAAGTTCATGGCCAAGTCATAAAACTGAATTTTAGGGAATTTGCAATGGATAATTCTACATACTTTTTGAGAATTTGTAGGTTTTTTAAGGTTTTTAAATCGATAATTAAGAAATGCGATACTAAACATATCGATTCCATAATTAACCATTTGTCAAAACCAGATCTGTTGGACAGGTGTGCTGATTTGTCACCTCTGTGCTCATTTCTCAAACCTGTTTGGATATATTAATCGGAAAGTTACTAACCAGTGAGGTTGTCAGACTTGGTCATTCTCTAGAAAGGTAATGGAGTACTATATTTTGCATTTTAGTATATAGAAAAGTAATTTTGTCATGTAAAAGTAATAAGATTCTATTCTCCTTTTTTTTCTAGTTAAAAATGTTGATAGGTTGGATGGTATACATATTTCTGACTCTATGCATCCACGAAGCAGTTTCAGATAAAACTGGAGGATCATCAGGATTATTGTATCTGAAAAAACCGCTCAAGAAACACGATATGAAAAGCCTCAAAGTGTTAAAAGTGGATGCGGATAAATTGATTAAACTTTCTAAGGAAAGAGGTGGGAAGAAAAGCGATTCTGACAATTTACCTGTCGAAATTGAGTATTTGTTGAATTTAACTCAGAGGAAAATAACGAAGAATCGTAAGTACGGATTATACGCTTTAACTCATAAACGATCTAAAAGAACACTCGAAGACGAAGAATACGACATAGATCTTGATGCTGCTGATGTCAATCTCGAAGAATTCTTTGCTAATTTGAAAAGAAATGATGATGATACTTGCTTGGCTAAAATGGTTTGTGAAATGGCTACAGGGAATCCAGCATTTGGTCATTTTGGAAGAGAAATAACAGAATTATTGCTGTAAGTATTCATTTTCTATATTAAAATATATTCTCGAAATTAATTATTATGGTATATTTTACAGTTCTCTAGAATCTTATGATCCTAATGTCTCTTGGAAACGTTACAAACAAGCAGCAATGATTGGGAGGAGAGCTAGATCAAACAGTACTTGTAAAAGAAGATATCCTTCATGTGATGCCACCTTTGAAGAATTGCTTGCTGCTAGTAGGTGTTTGGAACAAGGTGGAGATTGTCTTCAACCGTAGTTTCTATATTTTTTGTTTTAATTTCATATTCAAAATTATATTTTCATGTTATTGTGTACAGAGAAATAAATGGTTTGTTGGTGAAATTTGTCTCATTATTTAAGAATTTTTTTCTATGAAACATGACAAAAATTTATTTAAAAAAGAATTCTCAAAATATTTACAATATAAGTAATACTGAAATAGGAAAATTATCTTAATAACAATAATAAACTTACTGTAGTACAAAAATACTGTATCAAATATTAATACAATAACTAAACAATTACAAAACTTAAGTAATTTAGTATGATACTACATTAAAGTACAAGTTTTCCTGAGTCTTGAGTTTTATTCTTTTTTAAATCACTGTTTAATTTTAATATTTTGAAAAAACTTGATGAACAGTGGAAACTTCCACCAAATACCTATAGTTGAAATTATTGCAATAGCTAAAATTTTAGAAGCAAATTGCCAGGACTTGCATCTGTGTGGAATGATTTCAATCAGATCTGAAGTGTGATATTCAACATTATCTTTTATCTTATCTAAATGTTTGCTAAAAGTTTTTAATTCCGTGGAAAGAAGTTGCAAATTTTTCAAACAACATTCAGTTTCATTAATTAGATGATGACGACTTGTCTGATTGTTTTGTATTTTCAATATTTTTGGATAATTTTGAACTGTTTTTCTAAGATAAGTAACAGTTGCTTCAATGTATGAAATATGTTTTTGTGCATTTGTCAATACTGTAAAAAAATCAAAACAGGTAATAGCATTTTGTTTTGCTAATTGTGGTAGACTGGATGTCTGCCATTCTACTCTATGTACAGTATTAATCCCTTTTAAAATTCTTTTCCTAACTCCTACTTTCTTTACACCAATATCTTCTAAATCTTTTTCTCTCATTATGAGTAAATCTTTAAATGTTAAATTCCTATCATTAAAGAGTGGAATAACATCAGAAAAATTTAAATTACTTAGAAATGTCTCCAAGTCTTCATACTTAACAATTCTTTGTGGTTCTGTTTTAATTGTGGATATGTCTTCTCCTAAAAGTTGTAACACTAGTTGGTTATTTCGAGATCGTGCTAGATCACTTGCAGTTTCACCATTATCTGCAACTAGAACAGTATTTGCTTTATTATCTAATAATAATTTCACTATGTTTTCATACCCAGAAAAACTTGCCCACATCAAAGCAGTCCAGCCTTTATAATCTACCTCATTAATATCTGTTCCATATTCAATCAGTTTTTGCATAATTTGATAATGATTTCCACGACTCGCAAAATGCAACGGTGACATTTTGTGTTTATCTTTGACATTAACTTTGGCCCCTTTTTCTAATAATTGTATAGCACACTGAAACAATTTCTCTTCATTTTCAACAGCAGAAGCGCACACAGCCATCAACGGAGTAAATAAATCCTTATGAAAATTCGGATCAGCATTATTCTGGAGAAGATAATGAACGACAACATTTTCTCCAGAATTACAAGCATACATCAAAGCAGTCCACCCTCCTTTCAGTACATGATCGACTGGAACGCCTCGTTCTATAAAATATTTTACACAATCGATGTGTCCTATTTTAGAAGCAATTCTTAAATCATCCAATGGAACGTAATCATCATCAAAGTTATATAATACGGGTCTATTCTTCTTCACGTTTAATTCTACACGCATTGGTATTTCACCCTCCTCAAATTTAATTCCAAATTCAGGAGCATCTTCTTTAAATTCGTTTCCAGAATCATAATCTATTATCGGATCATTATTAAAATTATATACGATTTCATCATCATCAGAATCCCAACAATCTTCCATTCCAGCAGGGTACTCCATCTTTCAGTTCAAACTTCTACGACAAAGTAAACAACACATTGTCGACACGTGGGTCTGATTCACTAGCTATCTGTAAAAAATCGCCGCCGAATTATAGCCAATAAAAAAATAAACTACTTTTTTGTAAATCGCTATTTTAAGATTAAGGATTTTATCAGTTAAATAATAAATAAATAAATTTAAACTCTAACATAAATTAAATAATAGTTAATTTTTTAAGTAAATTTCACAACTTGGCAACACTTTCATAACAGATAAACATTGGAATTATATGTCAGAGAAGAAAAGCAATTTTTATATATATGAAGGAAACTATTTAAACATGTTTAACAAATATAAATAATCTATATTTTATCACAGACAATATGAATAGACCACAAGAGTAAGATAATCTAAACTTTTTATAGTCATTTATAAAATTGCCTTGTTAAAGTGCATTTTCTTTAAATTTTCAGTTTGGCTGATGAAAACTATTGGAATCATTCGAAACAGATTGGATATAGTTTTGATGACGTAAGTAAATTCCTTCATATTGGATAATCTATATAATTTGGAGAAAACGGCTAAATTCAAGATCCGAATGATACGTTTGAGACCTTAACAGAGCTGTAGAGCATACTCATATGAGGAAAAAAGCCAAAGGAACCATACCTCAACATGTGACACTTTACGAGATGTAGCCCCCACAAAATTACTCTATGTAAACACAAAAACGCAGACATATATATGTATGTAATATAAATTTTATTGTTTATTATCTTCTCCAGAATAACACTTTTGATAAAAGTTTATTTACTCCATTAATTTACAGAAGATGCAGTTGTATATCATGTAGTAGAGGATCAATTATCAGATTAAATTGGGGACTGGGGTTGTTTGGAAAATCGATTTTTCAGATAACCAATTATGTATGAAAAAATATATTAACCTTTCCCATGTTGAAATTCATTCAAATCCTGGCACGTATCCTTAAGTACTCTCTCATGGTTGTGTCAGTGCTGCCAGCTAAAACATGCACACCAATAAAAATAATATTGGAGTAGCTCAAGATGTAACCAAAGATTGCAGCACCACAGCACTAGCAGAAATTTAAATTTGTCAACTGGAAAGCTTTCAGTTAATTGATGTTTCAGTTGATCAATATTTGGATAATCAATGCTTTACTGTATATGCATAGTTATATACATATATATTTACACAGATGTGTAGAATATGTAGCAAAAGCTTTGATTTAGTCAACATTTTTTTTCGTAAAGATAAGACCCTCTTGAGGTTAACAAACTTTGTGATAAGATGTCCAAACATTGCCATTGAGCATAGGTAAATGTGAAGAGTTCTGATAAAAGAATTTAATTCTCAAAGAATTGCAAAATCTGTTACTTATTGAAAATGTTGATTCATATATATTTATGGCATTAAACAGGCCAGAACTTAAATAATCATAATATATAAAAAAATTTAAAAAAAGCTTTTATAAATGTTTGATGTCTTTCATTACATACATCACTACAATGGTAGAGGTTGCCAGTCTACTCCAACGTCTCTACAATGCATTTACGTACGCACACAACTGAAGTATTATTTATTGCCACGATTAAAGATTAAATTTTATTTTTGACCATGTATTTTGAGTTTGGGGTGGATATGGTGGAAGTGGGACATGCCCTAAAACATCACTAAAATACATTGTCATCAGACTTGAGTATGTCTTCCAAGTTTCAGCATTCTACCTTAATTAGAAGTGAATGAAATTTAAGTTGCAAGATTTAAGTTATGTAATGTAAAAGAACATTAAATAAAAGATCTTACTAATTAATAATAATGAATCAATACTGTATGCCAAAGCAGAATAAGATAAAGAAACATTTGGTAACTGATTGGAAGTTTGATCCATTAAAAATGGGATTGGATTGATGGTGTAAGGCCGAGACTCCACTAGCCTAAAAACCCTTGCCATAAAAACTTTTAATCACATGACCATGATATTTTATGCTGAAGCAGGTTGTAAAGCCAGTGTAAAGTGGGTTGAGCAGTGTTCAACTTGACATGAATACGTCCGTAAAACTGTACCATCCACCAATCAGAAGTCAGTGGAATCTAGGTCATTGTGACATGGTGTGAAAATGGCAGAAAACAAGCTTTTGTGTATGTTCTCTCATGGCTACTTGGAAAAGACCTAGAATAGATGTGAAAAGATTTATCAGAAATATCTGAAAGTATTCATGTATCTATGACAAGAGGTATCCCAATTATAATAATGGATGCCTAAAACACGCGATATGGATGGCCAAAGGAAAATCCTTCAATTTGGAGGAGTATATAATAAAAAAGCTAAGCTTATAAGTGCTGTATATTATCTTAATAATACTATAATAAAAGTTAATATATGAAAGTAAAGATATTATTTTTACTACATTTATAATTATAGTACAGAAAAAACTTGCAGAATATAATTATTGTCTTTATATTGATATATCATGCATACAACCGTAACTTTGATATTACTATCAAAGTAAAAACTTTGCTAGTGGAGCTGGTCCTCCACTGCAATCAAAGTGCAAATGCAAATAGGTCACATGATTAAAAGTATTTACAGCAAGGGTTTTTACACTCGTTTTTACACTAGTGGAGTCTCAGCCTAAGGTTCCAAAAGTGGGTACTACCCACTTTTGGAACCACCCCAGGGGTGGTGATTAAATCTAGAGGGCAAAAAGAAGCAAGGGATGGCACTGGAAGCAGGACCGAATAGTGACAATAGGCATGGGTTTGGGCCATTGACAACCTTTCCCTTTCCTCCATTAAAACGGATAAGAAGAAACATTGCATTTAATGATTTCAGATGTTGACGACAATATATAGTAAGGACACAACATATGAGCATTGTAGAAAAACTTTTTTACAATGGGCAGTCTACAAAGGATGGGCAATCACATGGGCAAGTGCTTCCCAAGAGGACTTTTATGGGAAACTGGCCTCATAATTAGGTGTTAGACACATGAAGAAAACCTAGAAAACTACACATTTGTGCCTCAAAGAGGTGTGATCCCAACCAACTATCAGTGTTCAGTAATTTTATTCACTTAGCCACTGGTGGGCCTAAAAAAAGAAATTTCACTACATATAAAAACATTTCTGTTTTATTTTAAAGATAATTTTTTGCTATTGTAAACTGTTATTTTAAAAATATTGAAATAAAAAAAAGCTTTAATCATTTTTTATTTTAAGTCAATTTTACTACCATTGTCCCAAAAAAGTTTGACCCTCTTGCCCTGAAAATGTAATTCCATCTAGATATGATGCTAGATACATACTTCTTCCAACAAGCCTTGATTTTGTCTTCATTCTTTTGATTGTACTTAATTGCAAGTGACAGATATCTTTGGAAAACTCTGCAGATTTTGTATTTTGTATTTTGCTTCACATTCTTGGCTTCACTATGGCTTTGAATATTTTGGATACTTGGTTAGTGTTTTCTTTATTGAATTTCTAGCTTTTTTTTTTTATTGAATATTGCAGTCAGCAACAATTATCATTGTATTGTTAATATCAGGATTGATATTTAAAAGACAAGATCAAATATTATACTAAAAGAAAATATAAAGATTCTCAATAAAAATAGCACTTAGCTGAAAATTTTATTTTTATATAATTTTTTAGATGTGTTTTGAAGATAGGTGAATATCTTTGTAAATTTTTAATACTTTTCATCACTACATTGTATTATTATTACAATGATATTTGTTTTTCTTAAAGGATAATGGCTTTGTTGTTGTAAATGACTTAAACAAATATTCTGGCATACAAGAATCTGGGGCATTTGAAGATATAGATTTTCAAGGTTTTGATGAATTAGCTGGAAAAAAATCATTTACGTCAGGTATTTTATATATTTAAAGTATATGTTAAGATTATATTTAATAGTGAAATATAATATTTTAAAATAGGAAAATTTTGTAGCTTTTTGAATATTAAAATATTATTCTTGTTTTAGATGTAGAGAATACAAGTTTAACAATAACAGAAACAGCATCAGCTGTAATTCAAAAGCAGTTGGGCTCCTTGATACTTGAACTGAAAGTATGTAATTAAAAATAAAAGTAATTGTAATTTTTTGAATTAGTTGAGTGTATAGCTAAAGTTACAAATTAATTCCAGACACCTGAAGAAAAAGATATCTGTAGTTATTCTCCTGGTGAAACAGCTAAAAACTTGTTTATTGGTCAGGTAAGTACAGTCGATTCTGTTTAATTGGGACACATTGGAACTAATCCATTTTGGCCCAATTAAGCAGCTGCCCCAATTAAACGAACTAATAATAAATTCTAAAATAAAATATGTAATATGTAGGTAAATAAATAAGTAGTAAAAATAATAATTAGGTACCTATTTTAATGCTTTGTTAAACCAAAATACAGAAAATATTTGTACTATAAATTTGACAGACTCACGATGATGATGCATCATGCTAGTGTTGACAAATACAGTATTAGTAGTGATGTACACAAGGGTTGACCGTTTGATTCGTTCCTGATCAAACGATTTTTCCTAGTTTGAATATGTTCTAACTAAAAAGGGAGAAAGGAAAGGGTTTGTCCAAAAGTCACCTTTGGACAAACCCAGATGTAATTATGCACACAATACCTTCCAAGGAAACTCTAGCTGTCTTCCAACTCAGTCAAGAGACTTTGAAAAATTGTACGGGGATCTTTGTCACTTTGCTTTTAAAGGGTTCGTCTGATCCAATTCAGAGCAAGGTCAGTAGCTCACATTCAGGTCCATCTCAGACAGGATCCCTGTGTGATATGTACTGCTAAGGTGACACCCTCCGGAAAAACTGAAATCCTGAGTGAAAGACAGAATTGCTTTGTCTCTGCCAATCGTTAGTCCTACATGACATTAGTGTACGTAGTGTCTACACATTTTTGGAAGATCCCTAAAATATATCAAAACTTGCTAAATACCTTTTCTACTACCTTCTCAATCAAGCAATTAAATTATGTATTAATTTATTAGTTTGGTTTCTGCTCTTTGGGATTTGGCCTGATAAAGTGGCTGCCCTGAATAATTAGTGGCCCAATTAAATGGAATCGACCGTATTGAAATAATCATTTATATTTTTTATTTTAAAAATAATTATAAATATTTATTTTTTCAGCCATATTTTTTTGAACAATTTAAGTCTTATGATAAAAAAATTATTCTGCTCGATTCTGCGATAAAACTTCATGATGGTAATGGAATTACTGCTGTAAGTATCATTTCTATAAATACAAAATAAATTTTTTAAGAAAAGAAGAAATTTTTGAAATTTTTTTTTCAGGCTATTTTGTTTTTAGAAAAAACATTAAAGCCCTCACTCTTCTATCAAATACTTAAGGATAGGCCTGTTGCTGTGTCTCATTATTTGACTTATTTGAAAATGCTTCAAAAACATGTAGAACTTACAGATATGCTGGTGTGAGTATTATTAAAAACAAACATTGCTAGTAAATATTTATCAGTTTTTACATGATTAAAATATTTTCTGTCTATAGGATGCTTCAAAAGTCTGAAGAAGCAGCTGTAAGTTTTATTTCAATAATCAATTATTCAAATTACATTTAAAATAACAATCTTAATTTCTATGCTTTTTTTAGATGATCCAATATAAATCTGCAATATTTGTGCAACAAACTGAACAGAAGATAAAAAATTTACATAAATGTTGGAAGTCAGTCATTTATAAAAGAAGTCTTTCTTTTAAATATTAAAATCTTATTAAAATTTTCAAGTTCACTTTAATATTTCAGAAATCACTTAGATGGTGATCAGAATCTTTCATTATATTCAAATTCTGTAAAAGAGTACATACATTTGTTGGAAAGACAACTTCCAATTGAGGTTGTTTAAATTTTAAAAAATTATAAATGAAGCATATTATGGAAACTTTATATAAAAATTAATGTTTAGGAAGAAGATCTGAGACAGGAGAGAGAGATGAAAACTCCCACATTTCAGAATCTTCCTCGTACAGCTTCTTTGTTAAACATGCCAGTTGTGACAACTTTGTATTATTGTTGTTTGTATCATTATAATTTGCCTGAAGTAAGTGATGAGTTGCTTTTTTGAAATTTATTTTTTTTTAAATTGATCTATAAAATTTAATAAAGTAAAATTTCATTACAAATACTAATCGTATCTTGCTTGCTTGCCATGTCCAATCACCTGGACATGGCAAGCAAGCAAGATATGACTAGTATTTGTAATGAAATTTTACTTTATTAAATTGTAATTTCTGCCAGCCCTTTTTTACAAGAAAATGATCTATAAAATTTATTTATGCCAACAGAATCATCTTGCAAGTCCAAAGGCAATAAAAAAATATTTTGGGGTAAGTCATTAAAAATAATTTAAAAAATTATATAAATTCAAAATATAGGTAATTATATAGTATTATTTTTAGTTATCAAATAAGCAATTTGTTTGGACTGCACTTGCAGCTCTAGCAAAGAGACAGATGTGGGTGGAAATAGATAATCTTTTCCAGAGTAAAGTATGATCATTTTATTAAATTAATATTTTCTGAAGTCATCAGTAAAGTAAAACCTCTTATTTAAAATGATATTTTACCTGTTTCTTCAGTCCTGGCTAGGTGGAATGAAGCTTAGTTGTTGTATTGGTTTTGATAAAGCAGTTGAATTATTGCACGATCACCATGCACCAACCGAGGCAAGATAGTTTTATCCTATATAGAAATGTTTATTCTGGATAAAAGTTTAAGTGTTTTATTACTTACAGATAATAATAAAATACTTGAGGTTGGTGGATAATATAGAAATAAGATTAGAATTAGCCAAGAAGTACAATTGTGAACAACTTGCAGTGGATGTAAGTCATGTCATACAAATAATTCATACATTAATGAAAAACTGTTCATTTTGTAAATTTCTTATTTTTCTTTGATAGACTTTAGTATCCATGAATGATCGACAAGGCCTGGAGAAATATAAAGAAAAATTAGTTCCTCATAGCAAAGCTTATGAATATGTACAAGAAGCACTGAGATCATCTGTAAGATTTTTTTAAATATTAATTTTATAAAACCAAAAATTTTAAAATAATAACAAGAGATAATATATTTTACAGATAATAAAATGGAAAAATTGAAACCAGTTAGGTTTGTTCATAACATGTTATATATATTAGGAAAAGATTATACAGATTTGTTATTGTTATTTTAATAATTGTATACAGTCGACCCCCTATAACACTGTTGATAATTCCGTTTTATATGAATTCCATGTAGTACGAGTNTCTCAATAAAAATAGCACTTAGCTGAAAATTTTATTTTTATATAATTTTTTAGATGTGTTTTGAAGATAGGTGAATATCTTTGTAAATTTTTAATACTTTTCATCACTACATTGTATTATTATTACAATGATATTTGTTTTTCTTAAAGGATAATGGCTTTGTTGTTGTAAATGACTTAAACAAATATTCTGGCATACAAGAATCTGGGGCATTTGAAGATATAGATTTTCAAGGTTTTGATGAATTAGCTGGAAAAAAATCATTTACGTCAGGTATTTTATATATTTAAAGTATATGTTAAGATTATATTTAATAGTGAAATATAATATTTTAAAATAGGAAAATTTTGTAGCTTTTTGAATATTAAAATATTATTCTTGTTTTAGATGTAGAGAATACAAGTTTAACAATAACAGAAACAGCATCAGCTGTAATTCAAAAGCAGTTGGGCTCCTTGATACTTGAACTGAAAGTATGTAATTAAAAATAAAAGTAATTGTAATTTTTTGAATTAGTTGAGTGTATAGCTAAAGTTACAAATTAATTCCAGACACCTGAAGAAAAAGATATCTGTAGTTATTCTCCTGGTGAAACAGCTAAAAACTTGTTTATTGGTCAGGTAAGTACAGTCGATTCTGTTTAATTGGGACACATTGGAACTAATCCATTTTGGCCCAATTAAGCAGCTGCCCCAATTAAACGAACTAATAATAAATTCTAAAATAAAATATGTAATATGTAGGTAAATAAATAAGTAGTAAAAATAATAATTAGGTACCTATTTTAATGCTTTGTTAAACCAAAATACAGAAAATATTTGTACTATAAATTTGACAGACTCACGATGATGATGCATCATGCTAGTGTTGACAAATACAGTATTAGTAGTGATGTACACAAGGGTTGACCGTTTGATTCGTTCCTGATCAAACGATTTTTCCTAGTTTGAATATGTTCTAACTAAAAAGGGAGAAAGGAAAGGGTTTGTCCAAAAGTCACCTTTGGACAAACCCAGATGTAATTATGCACACAATACCTTCCAAGGAAACTCTAGCTGTCTTCCAACTCAGTCAAGAGACTTTGAAAAATTGTACGGGGATCTTTGTCACTTTGCTTTTAAAGGGTTCGTCTGATGCAATTCAGAGCAAGGTCAGTAGCTCACATTCAGGTCCATCTCAGACAGGATCCCTGTGTGATATGTACTGCTAAGGTGACACCCTCCGGAAAAACTGAAATCCTGAGTGAAAGACAGAATTGCTTTGTCTCTGCCAATCGTTAGTCCTACATGACATTAGTGTATGTAGTGTCTACACATTTTTGGAAGATCCCTAAAATATATCAAAACTTGCTAAATACCTTTTCTACTACCTTCTCAATCAAGCAATTAAATTATGTATTAATTTATTAGTTTGGTTTCTGCTCTTTGGGATTTGGCCTGATAAAGTGGCTGCCCTGAATAATTAGTGGCCCAATTAAATGGAATCGACCGTATTGAAATAATCATTTATATTTTTTATTTTAAAAATAATTATAAATATTTATTTTTTCAGCCATATTTTTTTGAACAATTTAAGTCTTATGATAAAAAAATTATTCTGCTCGATTCTGCGATAAAACTTCATGATGGTAATGGAATTACTGCTGTAAGTATCATTTCTATAAATACAAAATAAATTTTTTAAGAAAAGAAGAAATTTTTGAAATTTTTTTTTCAGGCTATTTTGTTTTTAGAAAAAACATTAAAGCCCTCACTCTTCTATCAAATACTTAAGGATAGGCCTGTTGCTGTGTCTCATTATTTGACTTATTTGAAAATGCTTCAAAAACATGTAGAACTTACAGATATGCTGGTGTGAGTATTATTAAAAACAAACATTGCTAGTAAATATTTATCAGTTTTTACATGATTAAAATATTTTCTGTCTATAGGATGCTTCAAAAGTCTGAAGAAGCAGCTGTAAGTTTTATTTCAATAATCAATTATTCAAATTACATTTAAAATAACAATCTTAATTTCTATGCTTTTTTTAGATGATCCAATATAAATCTGCAATATTTGTGCAACAAACTGAACAGAAGATAAAAAATTTACATAAATGTTGGAAGTCAGTCATTTATAAAAGAAGTCTTTCTTTTAAATATTAAAATCTTATTAAAATTTTCAAGTTCACTTTAATATTTCAGAAATCACTTAGATGGTGATCAGAATCTTTCATTATATTCAAATTCTGTAAAAGAGTACATACATTTGTTGGAAAGACAACTTCCAATTGAGGTTGTTTAAATTTTAAAAAATTATAAATGAAGCATATTATGGAAACTTTATATAAAAATTAATGTTTAGGAAGAAGATCTGAGACAGGAGAGAGAGATGAAAACTCCCACATTTCAGAATCTTCCTCGTACAGCTTCTTTGTTAAACATGCCAGTTGTGACAACTTTGTATTATTGTTGTTTGTATCATTATAATTTGCCTGAAGTAAGTGATGAGTTGCTTTTTTGAAATTTATTTTTTTTTAAATTGATCTATAAAATTTAATAAAGTAAAATTTCATTACAAATACTAGTCGTATCTTGCTTGCTTGCCATGTCCAATCACCTGGACATGCTGTATATTATCTTAATAATACTATAATAAAAGTTAATATATGAAAGTAAAGATATTATTTTTACTACATTTATAATTATAGTACAGAAAAAACTTGCAGAATATAATTATTGTCTTTATATTGATATATCATGCATACAACCGTAACTTTGATATTACTATCAAAGTAAAAACTTTGCTAGTGGAGCTGGTCCTCCACTGCAATCAAAGTGCAAATGCAAATAGGTCACATGATTAAAAGTATTTACAGCAAGGGTTTTTACACTCGTTTTTACACTAGTGGAGTCTCAGCCTAAGGTTCCAAAAGTGGGTACTACCCACTTTTGGAACCACCCCAGGGGTGGTGATTAAATCTAGAGGGCAAAAAGAAGCAAGGGATGGCACTGGAAGCAGGACCGAATAGTGACAATAGGCATGGGTTTGGGCCATTGACAACCTTTCCCTTTCCTCCATTAAAACGGATAAGAAGAAACATTGCATTTAATGATTTCAGATGTTGACGACAATATATAGTAAGGACACAACATATGAGCATTGTAGAAAAACTTTTTTACAATGGGCAGTCTACAAAGGATGGGCAATCACATGGGCAAGTGCTTCCCAAGAGGACTTTTATGGGAAACTGGCCTCATAATTAGGTGTTAGACACATGAAGAAAACCTAGAAAACTACACATTTGTGCCTCAAAGAGGTGTGATCCCAACCAACTATCAGTGTTCAGTAATTTTATTCACTTAGCCACTGGTGGGCCTAAAAAAAGAAATTTCACTACATATAAAAACATTTCTGTTTTATTTTAAAGATAATTTTTTGCTATTGTAAACTGTTATTTTAAAAATATTGAAATAAAAAAAAGCTTTAATCATTTTTTATTTTAAGTCAATTTTACTACCATTGTCCCAAAAAAGTTTGACCCTCTTGCCCTGAAAATGTAATTCCATCTAGATATGATGCTAGATACATACTTCTTCCAACAAGCCTTGATTTTGTCTTCATTCTTTTGATTGTACTTAATTGCAAGTGACAGATATCTTTGGAAAACTCTGCAGATTTTGTATTTTGTATTCTGCTTCACATTCTTGGCTTCACTATGGCTTTGAATATTTTGGATACTTGGTTAGTGTTTTCTTTATTGAATTTCTAGCTTTTTTTTTTTTATTGAATATTGCAGTCAGCAACAATTATCATTGTATTGTTAATATCAGGATTGATATTTAAAAGACAAGATCAAATATTATACTAAAAGAAAATATAAAGATTCTCAATAAAAATAGCACTTAGCTGAAAATTTTATTTTTATATAATTTTTTAGATGTGTTTTGAAGATAGGTGAATATCTTTGTAAATTTTTAANTGTTTTCCAAAAAATATATTAAATAATTATTTTAATGTTGGTTTATATATGTACTCATAATCAGATTTGAAAGTTATGTATAAACTTTCAAATTAACATACTGTGTACCAGATATTCTCTCTCTTCATTCAAAATTCATATTACTGTTGACAATTTTTATGATTATTTGTCTGATACCTTTATTTAGAACTGTGTTTATATTTAACAGACACATTTAGTAATAAGTTTTGGTAATTATTGCAGTAATATTAGTTCAAGAATATTTCATTCATGATTGAATAAGTAGAATTGCATTATGTCATGATGACATTTGAGAGCTGTAATAACAATGTGTGAGGTCAGCCCTATCACAGCATTGAGGAATTGCACAGTTAATTTGGATAAACTAGAGTCTAAATGATTTGTATAATATAACAAGTGGTGGGGAAACAAATGGATTACAATTGTTTATATGAGTAAGGAAAGTTATGTTGTTTCAAGGGTGAATGTAATTACATGTCATCTAATGAAAATTTAAATTTCAACTTCTTTTATACATCAATTTTGAGACTAATAGTGGTAAATGAACTCTCTTGGTCATGGCTGAGACAATAAATGTAACTAACTTAGAGAGAAGATGCATGTGAGAAATCTTTCCTGGATAAAAAGAGTCAAAATTCTAGGTTATTCTGGAGACAAGTTTGAAGAAAAAGTGAGGTTCAAATGATAATGAGTATGCTTATCTAACCTTATTGGCTCTGCAAGTTTTCTACAGTCTCTCCAATTCTCTTCAGTTCCTGTCTTTATAACTTGTCAAGTCTTCCAGGTTCAACCGGATCCATCAGACTCTGAATCATTCTCTCCTAAATGTACTATGTAAAAATAACTACACAAACAAAACAAAATTTCATTTGAAAATTTGCAGTGCATATAATATAATCAGTTAAATTAAAATTTGTTAGGAAATCAACTTAATTTAAATGTTTGTGTCAACATAATTCAGTGAACTGATTTTGTAACTTAAAACAGTTTTTCAGGACTCCTAAGCTTTCAACTCAATCTTTATCAAATATATTCCAAACAATTCATATGCATTTTGAGCCAACTTGTTTTTCTTTTCAATATCTTCTTTCTTCTAACGATCATGCATTTTCCCCACCAAAGAAATCCAGCAATGAGATTTGTAACTTTCCCAGAGAGAAATATTTATGTTTAAGAAACACGTTAACAAAATTTAAAATTGTTTCGAGATTTTATTTAAAACAAATAATGCTAGTCAAATTTATAGATCTACAATTTTTGAAAATTGCAGTCTAAACAGTAATAGGTTTGATTGGCGGTATGATATTTTATTAATACAATAGCAAGTACAGTACACACCTGTATTTGGTATAAGTAAAACATTTTTGACATACCTTAACACAGTGTTTTTCAACCTTTTTGAATACGGCAACCCCCTAGGGCCATATTAAAACTATATCAGTGATTGTAAAAATTATGTATTTAATTTTCTTTTTGTTGAGAGAAATTATTGTTGATTAAAATGAGAATTTAGGAAGAATCCACAAAAACTTAAGACACGTATAGTATGAAACTTCTTTTTCATTATAACATTGGGCTCTGGGTGCTGTTGACTTTTTTTTTTTTTTTCTTTTAGGATGAGAGTTCTGAACTTCTACTTTTCTACTTATTACTTCTTTTTACAAGTTAGCTCAACACTTTTTCGGCTATCATTTTCTGGGGTGGGCGTACCCACCCAGGCCCCATCCTGGCGACACCCATCGTTCAGATTTAAATGCCGATCAAAAAACCAATTGTACTGTATAATAAACAGTACAATTGGTTTTCTAAAATTGCTAAAATTGTAGTTTTTTTAAATGTAGTGCAGGACCTACAAACACTTGTCTTTTTCTTTTACCCGCGACCCCCTTGTGTAAGGCTTCGTGACCCCTTTGGGGGTCGCGACCCACAGGTTGAAAAACACTGCCTTAACAGAAACAGTTTGACTTGCATCTTATTGGTTGAAGAAAGTCAAGCATAAGAAACTGTTGACAAACTCATAGCCAGTCAGAGAAAAGCAGCATTAATTGCAACTATGTACTGTATTGCAAGAGGACTACAATTTACGTTATCAAAATGCAGTTGCCAAACTTTGAATTTGTAATTGATACTTCAGTTCATAATTTGAGTTATAGAAGTTTTGGGAAAAAATTATTTGAGGTAAACATGGAAAATATATTGAATTTAGGTCGAAAATGCAGGGAAAAAAATAAATTTCAAGATAAGCATGTTTGAGTTAGTCATGTTCAACTATATATAGTAAACAAATCATCACTACAAGATCAATTATTTTAAAATTTTTGCCAAATAAGAAAAAATATTTAAAACTGTAGTGAAAGGAACTCCTATTTAATGGCCGATTAAGTCTCTTAGTTAATAGATTTTAGTATACAAGTATGTGTCCCTTAAATTAATGTTGGTAATATATTCCACGAAACATGTTAAGTAAACATCAGAGTTTAGACAAACCCATATAGTATAGCTTACTATCCATGTAGACTAAATGTAACACAGTGATAGTATTTATATATATAAAAGTAGAAAACATACAGGCAGCTACAAATTTTTTTTAGTTTCATTATAATCTTATGGGATCCTTGTTAAATTGAATATATGGAAAATAGTAGTAGTATTTTGCAATAACAAATATTGATATATGATCACTATAAATAAAAATTCACTTTTATTTGAAATAATAAATATAAATAGCTTCAGTTTGAATATTTTTTAATATTTAAAAAAAATTTAAACACACATTTGCTGTTTTTTCCTCTCTTGTCAAACTGTTAAAACAAAAAAAAAAACCTCAGTTGTTTATGAATGATGAACAAGTGATTATTTATTGTGACATCATCACAATGCCAGACTGAAATTTTTAATTCATATTTTAAAATTAATAAAGTGTTCGCCACTTCAAATTAATAGTGTACATCTTGCCTCTGTACATCATACCTTTTCTTTAACAATAGAGTCGTGCCGGTCATCTATTAACTGCTTTCCGGGAGTTTTGAATTGAAAACACGCGACTTCCGGTTTGCATCGGAAGTTCATATATAGTTAATTGGGGCCATCTGTCCCTAAAGTTTCCACATCTGGTCTCAAATTTCATCTAACTCCGTTCTCGAGAATAAGACCGTTGGACGGACGACAGTGAAATTTATGGGTCTACAATTTTTCCAAATTGTAACCCCGTGAGGTCACGGGTCGACGCGAACTAATGGATAGGAAAGTTCAGAATGCTAATCGGAAAAATCCAGCTTTGACTGGCTCTGGTAGACACGTCAAAATTTGGAATTAAATGTAGCATTCCTTTGAAAGCAGAATTGTCGCGTTATAAGTAATGAAGACAAAGAAAAATTATTAGCCGTCAGAAAAGAAAATATCGTGGCGCGAAAGTTTCGAAGTCGGATCGACACTCGCAGACGAAATCGAACAGAAGTGTCAAATTGATTAACCGACGAAATTAAGAATTTAGGGGCGAGATTATTTAAAATGCCAGAAATTCAAGAAGAAAGAACAGTCGCGTCTTCCTGGCTCAATCTGTTTATCCTCTGTGTCGGTTTCCCTGTTGTCTTGGACTTTGTTTTCGTTCCGCCGTATTATAAAGGCTATTCGGTTTTTTAAATATTAACTTTATTTAGTTTGATGTTTGATTAATACGCGAAACGTGTAACCCCGACGGCGACCGACGAATCTCCGAAAAGCAAGTAAATCGAAATCTTAAGAATATGATTTATTTCATGCCATGGACGAAAAAAGAAATTTATTCGAACGAATTTCGTGCGATTTTCGGAGATGGTCAAGCTTCGAGACATATAATTTAAGATGATCGTCTTTTATCTCTCCACGTGGACATTCTGCACCATGTAAATGCTCAAGATAATCTATTTATCAAATTCCGAACAGAAGAAAATGATTAATTCATGATTATTTAAATTTTGCTTCAATCTATGTATATATATAGATTGAAGCAAAATTTATATATATATATATATATATATATAAATGGACGTGTGTGTCCCTTTATATATATATATATATATATAAATTTTTTGATATGTTATTTTTTGAAGCTACTTTGCTTTAAATTACTTTAAGAATTACCTTATTAATAATTTTTTTTATTTCTAAAAATCATAAGTATATGTAAATAAGTTTATTAAACAACCCAAAGCCCAATATATATATAGCCAAATGATTATTGCGTTAAATACTTGGGCTATAAATCCACTAATTTTAATAATTAATACTAGGCTTGCTTGGAGTTTGGGTGGTGCAACTGACAAATGCACTGCATGGCAAGCAGAGGTTGCAGGTTCATGCTCATTCTGGGATAATTCTTTTTGTCCGTATGATTCTAANATAATGTAATTATCTTAATCTTCACTATCGTTACTTTTTGCCCAGCGAAGCGGGTCCTTGCAGCTAGATTCTAGATTACTTAGAAAAACAGTCTTTTATATATATATATAAACTATATTACATACAAATAAAAACCCAGCGAAGCGGGTCCTTGCAGCTAGTTAATTAATAAAATTTATTCTTTTTAAATTCTAATTTTTACGAAATTCGAACATTGTTGACGCGTCTTTTAACGTTTGTTCGAAATTCGTCACAAATGATTCGCAGTTCGATTGTGTTTCTGTTTGGAGTCGAACGTGCTTTTATTTCGCTCGTAAATTGTGCTTTTATTGCGGTTTCCGGAGTTTGAGAAAGAAAAGAGATTTTTGAGGTAAGTCTTAATCCATATTGACCCTAGAGGTAAGAATTTATTTAATATTCCCGGAAGAATCATTGCCAGAAGACAACACGGGCCATCGCTCGATGATCAGCCGTTTTCGTTTTCAATTCGAATGTTTTTGATTTAAAAAGGGAGCTGCGGTAAGCATTTTGCTTTTCTCTTTAAGCTTTTGTTTTCACTTAACTAATTGCAAATTTCC